TTTATTCGCCTATTGATTGCTCAAGAGAACTCGATTAGGGCGCCACAGTCGAAAATTGGGAGTTTTTTTTGGCACAAAAAGGGAACTATAAAAATTAGTTCATGAAAACGATATCAACAACGATTTTGCATCAAGTTAATACTGAAGTCAAGGTTTTGAGATCAGATCGGTCAACTTTGCTGACTTGTCGTAAGCAACTTAAGCATAATCCGTCATCATCACATGTTACACTTCATTAGGTGTCACCTTTGCCACGTAACGGCCTAACGAATCTCTTCATCCTAACCACTCAGCTAATCTTTGAAACCTTCGAGATAAATTCCATTGGCTTCATTATTTGTCCCACCACTTTTGTGTTTGGCTCAGATTTCACGGTCAACTTCTCACTGTGACTTCTGGTCGCAATCCTAAGGGCTTCGCACGGGTGTTGCGTGGGCCACTTGGAGGAGGGAAAATGAGAGCAAAAAAATCAAAGTTTTTTTTTGTTCCTGTAGAATTAACAGCTACTGAAAGGGAAGTCACCTGGAGCGGAATAGTTGATCACGGCAGCAGATAGTTACATACTTGTCTACGGCTATGGCTAGCATATGAAATGTAGAGATAGTACAGAGTATACAGAGAATAAGATGTACAAAAAGACATCCGTAAAAGGTTTGAGGTCGTCGAGTTAACACCGATACTATGGTGACTGGAATGCCTAGACATCCTGCAAAAAAAAAAGAATTTAACCACTCTTAAATTCTAGAGAATTCTACTCGATTTTTACCTACCAGCTAAGAAATCTGTAAGCGCCAATGAGAATATGTAGGTGTTCGTAACGGTTCTAACATCTTTTTTTCGGATGTAGACATAAAGTACAAGTAGATTTGACAGAGAGATATGAATAGAAAGTAGAAATTCGGCCACTGCGTAGACGAGCAGGTAGTCCATATGGCTGCTTTAGACGTCGGCCACGCCTTCTCGATCCTCAACGCAAAAATGAACGTGGGCTTCTGCCTTGCACACTATCATGGTGCT